TCTATCTATCTATCTATCTATCTATCTATCTATCCATCTATCTATCTATCTATCTATCTCTCTATCTATCTATCTATCTATCTATTTATTTATCTCTCTCTATATATATATACATACATGTATATTATGACTTTATTATGTATATATGTATGTATGTATGTATGTATGTATGTATATATAAAATATATATAAATATATATATATAAATATATATATTATAGACACACTAGCTCCGTGCCCGCTTGATGAACAAACTCGATCTTCAATTCATTGTCGAAACAGTGCGCATTGTTTGTGAACGGAAGCCTTACTTGTTTACAATGGCGTCTTAGAAGACGGACTTTCCCAAGAGCAGATCTAAACAAAAGCATACAAAATTGAAAATGAAACTACACCTTAATGTAACTGTGCACCCTTTAAATGATTCTGAACCACCCTTCATTTTTTCAAATCCGAAAGTTGAGTGGTTCGGAAGTTTAAAGCCACGTGTCTATGTGTACATAATGCGTTGTGCGCGATGCGTAATGCGTAAAGGAAGTTTAAAAAGAAAATTCAACTAAAGTGTATCCATGTGTGCGTGAGGTGTTGTCCGAGATGCGTGATGCGTATTCAAACGACTTCGGCATCGTTCAAATACGCATCAAGCAGGTATACAGACACCGGAAGCTAGAAATTCCAGGTTATTTACAAAGAGCTACGGGTTTCTGCCATTTCGTTTTCGTCAAGCTAATATCATAAAATGCCATGGAATTTCGTCCCAGATGATGTTCTAGACATTTTTTCTGCCGAGGAGGGACCACAAGGATGCTGTCAAGACTTCCAACATATGGAACAGCATTTCTGACATTCTGCAATGGGAGGGGAAAACAACTATACAGCCTCTGTCCTGTATATGCCTGGTATTACCACACACACACACACACACACACACACACACACACACACACACACACACACTCACACACTCATTGTGCGCACGCACCGATCTGTTTGGTGCTGATTTTGCATTTGTTCTAAATACTGACGTGTAAATCTAAATCTACTCTCACAGAAAATGATGATCATCATCATCTATGAGTCAATAAAGTCAATATTTCACGAGTTCTTTTAATCTTAAGATTTATCCCTCTAGGGTGTTTTAATCGTGCCATTTTTTCGGGGCTCGTCATGTTTCACTTTTGATAAAAGGTCCAATTGATTACACTCATTGAATGAATTTTAAGATTAGAAGAACTCGTGGAGTATCACTACATTTACGTACATGTAATTTTTTTACTGAAAAAATACAAGATGTCAACAAACGTCCGTTGCGACATGTTTTTGATTGTTTTGTGTCGCAACAGCCTTTGATAACATGACCCACAGTATAAACTCACAACAGCATAATTAATGTGATAGTATGAATGGAACTATGGCTGATATACAGAATGTTGCATGTGGAGGGAGATTGTGTTTTATGAGGCTTGCAGAAAAGGACAAACAATTAGGAGTAAGAGAGGCAGAGAGCTTTATTGTTTAGTGCCTTCAAGCCTACAATTAGAATATTTATTGTGTCATGTTTTGGTTCTATTTTGACACAGGTGATTTCTGGAAAATTAGATGACCTAAAGAACGAAATGATGGATCGCGAGTGTTAATATACACGCACACATAGAAAAGAGCAGTACGAATTACGCATAACGCACTACGTATTACGTACACAAAGAGACCAGGCTATAAGCGACCAAAGTGACGAACTTTCACAAACATATAGACTAGTCGAACAATCTAAAACGCCATCTCTATCTTTTATCTATGCGTATCTTCAGTCTCTCTGTCTCTCTGTCTCCCTCTCTCTCTCTCTCTCTCTCTCTCTCTCTCTCTCTCTCTCTCTCTCTCTCTCTCTCTCTCTCTCCCAACATACACACATACTCATACACACACACAAACGAACAAACACACCCGCAAGGACTGACAGACAAATAAACACACAATGACGCACTCACACACGCAGACACACACACGCACGCACACACACACACACACACACACACACACACACACACACACACATACACACACACACACACATGTACACACTTACACACGCAGACACACACACATGTGCACACTCACACACGCAGAGACACACACATGTACACACTTACACACGCAGACACACACATGTACACACTTACACACGCAGACGCACACACACATGGACGCTCTCACACACGCAGACGCACACACATGGACGCACTTACACACGCAGACTCACACACATGGACGCACTTACACATGCAGACACACACACATGGACCCACTCACACACGCAGACACCC